AAAACCTTAATGATTCGCTCATTCGCGTGGAAGCTGGATGCACAGAACGGGGCTTAAAATTAATACGATTCCCTTGCTCTCTCAACCAGCACCGTACAATCTCGATTAAGATTTACGTCGGAGGAAAAGAGGTTGATGGTGGAATTTCCATTAAGTTGCTTCTTTTTTCGGTTTTTTGTTATACGTAAGCACGTGCTGAGAATTTTGATGCGGTATGCTGCCTGCGGCGAAGGAAAATTTTACAAAAATATTAAATATTAAATTTACGGGAATGTTTTTATATGATTACGTATGATTTAAATTTGTCAGTACAAACGTCAAGGTTCTGAGGCCGTGAACATATTCATTTTATTTCTCCTAAATGTATTGGACAGATTACCATGAAGTTGACGGCGTGCTTGCACAGAAAGGATAACAAGAAACCAAAGGCTCAAAGACTGTTTCAACAACCAATCGTTTATATCACGGTCGACCAGCAAAAAAGCGAAAACGATGAAAATGTAACGAAAAGATAGGTACGGCTCGGTAATAGACAGTGGCATCGAATGAAAGGAAACACTCGAATGAAGTGGCAAGATTTAACAGTTATACGGATCATTTAATGTGTATTATTGGATTATCAATGTCGGTTCGAAACTGTATTGGACAGCAAACAGAGGTTCAACATTTCTCGCAAATTTCAGACAGTGACCGGATTTTATGTCTGCGCATAGTATTTGCTTCAATTTGTACGGAATGAAGTTGTTGCCTTTGTAGTTTGTCATTTGATTGTTGAAGTTGAAGTCGAAAAGAACTAATTCTAGCTCAGAAAAGTTTGTCAATATAACAAATATTCATTTAAAAAGATTGGATAGTTTCGTAATAGGGCTAAGACTAAATTTTGGTCATGCTTTGTACAATCCTCACTTTTCCTCTGTTTTTCCACGGTTTTGTACAATAATAATGTTTCTTTTAAACGTGATTCTTGATTCATAAACCTTTCCATAAGTACTTATTGGTTAAAAAAAGTGACAAGATGTTCATATTTTATTAAACGTCACTGCTTTTTTATTTAAAAAATCGTCAAACGTAATTCGGTAATATCTTTGGATTTACTTCGTCATTCGAAAAAAGGCAGAAAAAATGGATTCGCTAAGAATGGTTCCCTTGGATTTGAGAAAAATGGTCGTGAATATTGATACCATGCATTGTTATGGGCTTTATATTATTGCTTTTCATTGATATATATCTTTATGATTTTTTTTCGCGGTGCCGGTGGTGTAGTGGTAAGCGTGATTACCTCTCAACCCAGCAGGCCTGGGTTCAATCCCAGTCGACGCCGCCGGGATGTTCTGAGGCATAACATCTCTGATCACGCCATTCTTCAGAAGGGAAGTAAAGCCGTTGGTCCCCGGTTCATGAGTAGATGGGTCGATAGGTATAGGGTTAAGGTGTGGGAGCTGCCTCCCTGGCGTCGGTTGCATTGGTGCTCAGCACGGAAAACAAGATCGACGGAAAAAAAATCAAGGAGAAGAAAAAAAACCTTGTAAGGCCTGTATTCGAAAAAAATGCACCAGTGTTCGCCAAAAATTTAGTTTATGTCGGATTTTCTTGAAACTTTTTTTTTTCATACAATTTAATGTCACCAATAAATGAAGGATTATCTCATCTGTCCGATTTTTATATTACTATGTTTGTTTAAATGATAATTTGTGGGAAATCGACTATGGAAATAAAAAATAACAGCTACGTTATATCGAGGTATACCTGAATCATGATAACCGTTACATTTAAGTAGTAGTTTATTTAGGAAATAAATAATCAAAGTTTCGAAAATGCATCAAAAGCAGCTCTTAAAAAACTTATTATATCAAAAGTTGCTCCATCCTGGAGTTGCATTCAAAATATTCCCATTCTCTCCAAACTCTTATAAAAAAATTAAAAACATATTTTTTTAGTTATTTGAATTTGAAGGTGTTTCTATATATAGGGGAATTTACGTATTCTCGTCAATCTAAGCAGCGTCCGAACTTCTATTAGCGATTTCTCTGCGTCACACACATACATGACAGGTTTGTTTGTTGACATTTATCTGCTGCTTGCTGTTCTACCAATTCCAATCGACAGAATTGATCAAAACGGGTTGAACATGTTTTTACAACGCTCCAAACTTCTCAGGTGAGTGTGACTATTGTCGGCAGTCTCTTTTTCTTCGGCACCCTTTCCATTTGAACTGCGTGTTAACCAGCTGTTCTATTATCGGCAACTCGAAATCAGCCGTATTTTGTAGTATGTATATTTAATTTAAAGAAAAATATGGCATAACAGGATTGCACAGTCGTAAAAATGTAATCTGATTGAAGCTGAAAAGGTAAGGAATCGGCTTAATACATTCAGCGAAGAGTTTTGATGGGAAAATACTGTGAAATTAACGTTTCAATTTCGGTTGCCGAAAACAGTCAATGGGTGCCGAAGCCATAATTTACCCTATTTTGCCAAATAAATTTTGGAAATTTGTGTA